CTTGAGTTTGTGTTTGGTTGTGTACATTTGAATTATGGTTTGAGATAAAAATCTTTTTGAGTTTGTGTTTGAGTGAGTCAAAACTTGAATTTATATTTATATAATATTTTAATAAAAACTCAATGCTGATGAAAAATTTTAATAAGATATATGGGTGGGGGTTTATTCGTCTTTTCGTTGTCAACGCATAGAAAAAAACCATCTCAATAAGAATTAAAATGAAAAAGTTATAGCATTTTTAAGAATAAAAAAATACTATTCATTAATTTGAGTTCAAGTTTTTGAATTCGAGTTAAAAGAGAAACTTAAACTCGAGTTCAAACTTAAAAGAACATAAACTTAAATAAAATTATAATTCGAGTTATTTTTTTTAAATTTTTAACTCAAAAATGGGGCTGCCGAACAACTCTGAGTGTATGAGTGTGTATCCATTAGGGTTTGAATAATGGTAGTTTCATTTCTTGTGTGATGTAAGAGCTATTAGCCCAACGCCAAAAAAAAAAATTAATTATTCTGTCGAGTTTAGCGACTTTCCTTTCAATACATTTGACAAAAAAAAAAAAAAAGAGAAAAAAAAAAAAGAGAAAGTTAGCTAGCTTTCGTTTTCTTTGACCTTTAGTTGCTCAATTCAAAATTATGTCAGCTTGTACGTTAATAAATGTTACACGTTTTATTTATTTATTTATTATTATTTTTTGCTAAAAGAAATATTACACGTTTAATACATGCCACCTTTTATTCCTTAATTGCCATAACTTGGTATGCTCAAATCAATATCCATCGTTGTCAATTATTACTTGTTCCACTCTTGTAAAAAGTCCTTTTATCTCAGAATGAGAAATTATTCGTTATTCCCTTGTATATATATGTAACCTTTCATTGTATGATTTTCTACCTGATAAAAAATTTTAATGCAAATTCGTCAAACAAGCATTACTGACTATTGAATAAACCTTATTATATGCATCAATTAATTCCTCGAAAATTATTTTATTTTTTAATGTTTTCAATTATTCCAAGGAAAAAAAGGAAGAAAGAAAAAAGCGAGATTCATTTCGGCACTATTTTTACTAATTAGTTATAGCTAAACTCGATACAAAAACCACACACACACACATATTACCGCATAGCACTAGCAAGTAGCAGTTAGCTCTTTTATTTTATTTCCGTTTTTCTTTTTAAAGGGAGTGCTCTCCTTTTATTTCGTTAAGAAAAAGCGTATAAAAGATATTTATTACTCTTGACAAAAGAAATTTTAATATATCTGTTCGTTTTGTTAATTTAAATTGAGAATTTAAGTTAAAAACTAAATTCATATGAGAAAAAATACTATAGTAAAAAAGAGTTTAATTTAAATTTTTGTGACAAAAAATATTATAACAAAAAATTAAATTATAATTCGAACTAGCGAAACGAATGAAACCAGGCTACATTAGCAATTCAATATTGTTCCTAATGAATTGGACTTATATGTTTCCTTTTTCTATCTCTTTTTGTATTCCTAATAATATTATATTACTTCATGATTCTTTAATTGATATTGAGGTTTAGTTTGGTAGTGCTATGGATTTTAAAAAAATTGTTTTTAGCTGTGCTGAAGGAAGAAACAACTGTTACAATAAGCAGCTGAGTGTTTGATAAACTGTAATTATAGTAGCTGCGCTGTTTCTAAAATCAGTGTAATAGCGTTTCGTAAATTTTGATGTTGACGTTGTGGGTATGTAAAATGACCAAAATAGACATGGTATGAAACTTAAATATATATAATTATTTTTGGTATTAGAACTACTTATTTAACTTAAAAAAAACATAATGCTATGATTTTGAGTTTTTTAACAATAAATTTATGATAATTAATTTTTTTTTCATTTCTTCATTCACAATATAGTTACAACTAAAATGAGCATTAGTGAGTAATTAATTTGTTGAACAAAAAAGTACATTCCATGTTCAAAAACTGACATAGTCATTAAAAGAATTAAGTCGTGTTCATTAAACTTGCCGCAATTTGATCTCGTACTTCAACCATTTCTTGTGATAGTGAAGCTTCATCTTCTTTTACATTGTCCTCCAGTTGATGTTCTTCATAAGCGAAAACATCTAGATTATTCTCGACTTCTTAAAAATGTCGATCACACTTATCATGCATCATAATATAGTTATGAAGTGTCATTCTTACAATAACTATTTTTACTTGCTTCTTAAATAAATAATTAGGCATGTCTCTCAAAATTTTCTATTTTTTCTTCCAAACACCAAAAGTACGTTCAATGACACTTCGAAGAGAAGAATGTTCTTGGTTGAATACCTCTTTACTGCTTGTTAGTCGACGACCCATTCAAAATTATGGTAAATGGTATCGTTCTCTTTTATAAGGTCCAAGAAATCCTTTCAATTGTGGATAGCCTGGCTCAACTAGGGGTGTAAATCAGCCGGGTAGGGTAGGGTTGAGCCGAAAAATTGAGCCTACCCGACCAGTGCGGCTTGAGAAAATTTTAGACCGCGACACTCTCTTAAGTCTACAAACCCGCAACCTTTCGGGTTACTCGGGTTTGTGATCTCAAGGACCACATGATCACTTTTTAGTCAATTAATCTGTGCTTGTTACAGAATAAATCATTATCAAACCGAACATATCTTTCCTTCAAGAGGGGGTCTAAATGCAAGGTGAACAATTAAAACACTCACTTTGAAATCAAACACTTCCAATATAAATAAAAAATGTCCTAATTCAACAACTATCCCATACAAGCATTTTTTTACACAAACCGTGAATCCAAAACATAAATAAGTTAACAGTTAAATGCATAAAGTCCATAAACTTATGAAAGTAAGAATTTGAAGTGTTGGACATTATTTTACTTACTTTGAACATGTTCGGCCGGGTAGGATTACCTCGAGTTCATGTAACCTCACCCCGCACCTCTACCTGCGCAGTGCGGGTTAGGCATAATTAAAATTGAAAATTAAATAAAAAATTAAAAACCCGTGATTTTCGAGTAGGGTCGGCTCAGTTCGGCCGGATTCGTCGGGTTCGGGGTGATTTCTTACAGCCTTAGCCTCAACCATTTAAGAACATAACAACAATTTTTATATCTCACTCTCATTCTTGTTGCTGAATTGCACCATTTTCTCATCAACCAAACAAGAAAAAAGAAATTTTGATGGGAACCCATTTGGAGAATTTACCTTAAGAACATCGTGATTTGATGCAGAGGCCCAAGAAATGCTGATGAGAAGCCATGGCAGACAGAGAAAAGAGAGTAATATATGAAAAGTTAGTCATATACATGTATATAGATTCAGCAGATTAAAATTCACAAAACTCAGATCAAAATTACAAACTCAGATTCGACAGAAGAGGAGTTCTATGGCGGCATTTAGTCGAACACTTTGAGTGATGTTAAGGTACGATAAACGGAAAAGTTACAAATCGGAATTGAAGAGATCGTCGCGATGCCGGAATGTTGTCGGCGATTTTGAACGTTGGATTCGCAGCGGCGATGATAGAGAGAGGAAGGCCACACCCAAACATCTCCGGCGAAAGCTGCATCAAAACTCAAAAAGATAAGAGAAGCAAAATCGAGAAATCGAAGCCGGCATCAAAACTCAACAAAACCAAGGAAGCAAAATCATTTAAATCGCGGCATCAAAAGTCAACAAAACTAGAAAGGGGAAATTGCGAAATCGCATCCGGAATCGCGACAAAATCAGTCTTCTCCCTCTATTCTTCTCCGACGATTCGCGGCAGAAATCTCCAACGAAGAACGACGGCGGCTCAACATCTCCGTCGCAGCTCGATATCTTCAGACGAAGAACGAGAAAAAGATATCAATAGGGAGAGAGAGAGAGAGAGAGAGTCGGTGAAGGAAGAGAGAGTGGGGTGAAGAGAGATGGAAAAAGAGTGAGGTGGCTGGGGAGTTTCTTTTGTTCTTTTTTTGAAAGTGGCGAATGGAAGTTTCAAGTGAGGGTTAAGAAACGAAACCCCTTCTTTACCGTTGGAAAAGAACATTGTCTCAAACGGCACCGACAACTGAATTTAAATGGTCAAACTAAAAATCGCGCGGTTAGAGAGGCTTATCTCTTGATCTGATGACGAGAGATGGGTAGTCGGAGGAGGAGATGGGAGACCGGCAAATGGACAATCGCGTAGAGGAGAAACCAAATGAGCTATGACAGGCCAAGGGAGAGAGAGACTGGCGAGCGGAGCAAGGGAAGATCGCTTCGAACGGAGAGGAGGAGAGAGGATTGAACTCTCAAAATTTTTTTCACAGAGGAGGACGAGAGAGATAACAGAGAGGAGGAGAGTGGAGGAGATACCAAGATCTGAAATGAAAATGTGTTTATGAGGTGGTAAATTTTAGATTTCATTGAGGGTAAAATTGAAAATAAAAAATTTCATTAAACCCTCAAAACGGATTCCCGCATAAGCTGAAATCAGAATAAGCTTTTAGGCTGATTCTGCTTTTAGTTTCAAATTATGAGGAAATTATTCAAAAATCTGTTTTGCCAAACAACTTTTTAAATTTTAACTGTCTCAATAAGTGTTTTTTCTTTCCTAAAATCAATACGAAACCCACCCTGAGTGCATTTTAATTAATATATTATATTATTATTAGAAAAACATAAAAAAAAAAAAAGACACGAATAAAAGAAACGCTAAATCGAATCCCCACCCCATAAAGAGGGTGAGGGATTATTACATGAATAGCCAATTATTGTACTGAAAGATCAAAAAGAGAAGGGACATAATCATTTTTCAAATCTAATAATGTCTATATCCAAATTAGGAAAATCATTTTAGAACATTTGTAAATAAACGTATACATATATTTATATTGTAATTAGTACCACGCAACAAAGCATATAATAAACATTTACCAATCATTATAGCACGCCATTAAATAACGCCTAATTGTAAAAGCCAGCTACTACAAACCAATGCCAGCCAATTACTTTAGAAACTTTTTCGTCGTGTTGACTTTATATATTTCTTCTTGTGATCATATTCCAATCCCATCAATATTATTTCCTCAGCTAGCTCTACCGAATCCTCTCTCTCTCTCTCTCTCTCTCTCTCTCTATAAAACCTCCGATAACGTTTGCATACAACAACAGACAACAGACACTGATCTAAAAAATGGTTGCCGAGTCTAGTACCAGCAGTACTGCTGGTATTAGCAGTTACCCCATCAAAACGGTTGTCGTTTTGGTGCAAGAGAACCGCTCCTTTGACCACATTCTGGGGTGGATGAAGTCCCTCAACCCGGAGATCGACGGCGTAACCGGCTCCGAATCCAACCCGATATCCACGTCCGACCCGGAATCCAACCGGGTATTCTTCCGCGACGGCTCGGCCTACGTCGACCCGGACCCCGGCCACTCCATCCAGGCAATCTACGAGCAGGTCTTCGGCGAGCCGTGGACAGAGGAATCCGCCGCCAAAGCCCTAGCTCCGAAGATGGAGGGTTTCGCGCAGAACGCGGAGAGGACGCAGGAGGGCATGGCGGAGGTCGTGATGAGCGGGTTCAGGCCGGAGGCGGTGCCGGTGTACCGCGAGCTCGTGTCGGAGTTCGCGGTGTGCGACCGGTGGTTTGCGTCGCTTCCGTCTTCGACGCAGTCTAATAGGCTGTACTTGCACTCGGCGACTTCGCATGGGTTGACTGGGAACGACACAGAGCAGCTGATTAAAGGGTTTCCTCAGAAGACCGTATTTGAGTCGTTGGATGAAGATGGTTACTCTTTTGGGATTTACTATCAGCAGTTTCCGAATTGTTTTTTTTACAGGTACGTAATTAATCAATTAAATTAAACACTATAACTGCCACAAAATGAAAAATAATTTAGTTTATGTTTTTTTTCCTCAGTTTATTTATTTATTATAACACTACGAGAAATCAGAGCACGTGAAAAGAAATATATATATACATAAGTTAAAATTCAGCAAAGAAAAAATATATTTGTTAAATTATTTAAGACAACTGTTTAAGATTCCACAAAGGAGTACATAAGTATTCTAATTCAATTAATGCTCACGAAAGCTTTCTATGATTAAATATGGAAAATAATTTTCCGAAACAAAATAATAAAGGGAGAAAAAAAAGATCGATCATCCACTCATGAGTTATCCATAAACTGTAGAATGAAAAAGAAGTTCATGCTAGGATTTTAGCTAGAGGAGACTTTTGATTCGAGAGAGAGAGAATAGTTTCTCTCTTGTGTTGGTTCATGGATTAGAATCATGCGATTAGAACTATTTTTGATTTACGTGTATTTTTTGTGAGAAAAAATACTGTAGCGAACTATGAACCATGATTCAAATTATAGTTTGAATCATCCAACCAAACATCCCCGTCTTAAAAGATGCGAAAATAAGAAGCAATAAATAGAAGAATATTACAATACGGGTGCGGACAATACATTTACGGCAGACTATGAAAATGTATTATTTTATTATAAGATTTTGTTTTAAACCATATAATCTACATCAGATTTTATCAAGTTTTATATATTTAATCACTTTGATGTGATGTGATCCTGGTCAGATCTAAGTTTTATAAATATACACCACCATATGAACAAGGTGTTGTTTAGGATATTTGTATTAATAATTCAGGTGGGTTTTGTCGTCCAATTATTGGTGGGTCACTACCTATATAGTTGATTAGGTTAGATAAGTGGAGAAGTTTTCTCTCCTCTATATTTTTATTCTTACAATTGTTTTTTTTTTTTTCAAATAAAATAAGATTGGGTTAGTTCCTATCTTTCAAAAAATTCCTTGTTATGAACAATTAAATGCAAGGGATGAAAAGTTAGAGAAATCCTGGAATATCATAAGAATTCGGTCACTTCAATTTTCAATTGTAGGTTTTAGAATTCTACCATACTAGAAGATCGATAAACGATAAACATAATATGTTTTCCCAAAATTGTCCCAAATAGCGGTGTAGTTTATTAGAATATCGCCAGTAAACTACCAGATATCATTGTAATCAACGGTGATCAACGGTCGTAGTTGACAACCGGTTGCCGATCAAAAGAAACTTACTAAATTAACATAGGTAATCTACCATGTTTGGACCACCTATCTAACACACCACTGTTCTTTTACACCTTTCGTTAGAGTAATTTTGTAGATTAGTACAAGCAATCTAGCATATTAATGCGCACACTCAACACAGCCAGTCAACAGAATAATATTGACCCCGTTCATTTCACCGATTCGAGTTTTGCTACAGTAAAAACTTTAAAAAATAGTCACATCTAATTTTTTTACTACAGTAAAAGGCTCTCACACAAAATCACATCTTAACTCAAATTAAAAACTCGAATCAGTAAACTAAACGGGCCCTTAATGCTTGTAACTACTCTAGAACAATAAAAAATTCTAAAATTAAAAAAATAAAAAAAATTTGATCAAGTGACATTAGCTTATGAATTCTTTTGAAAGTTTCCTTCAAAAAAGATCTTTTAAAAGTTTAACGGGTTAAAAAGTAAGTTATCAAATATTCTTAGATTAAGAATAACATCTCTCGATTTTGTGTTCTAAAACCCTCTCACATTTTTTTTTTTGGCAGGAACCTTAGAAAACTAAAATACACAAACAAGTTCCATCAATTTGATCTCCACTTTAAGAAGCATTGCAAGGAAGGCAAGCTACCAAACTATGTGGTGATCGAACCAAGGTACTATGACCTATTATCAACACCTGCAAACGATGATCACCCATCTCATGATGTCTCGGAAGGACAGAGGTTTATCAAAGAAGTCTATGAAGCTCTTAGAGCAAGCCCTCAGTGGAATGAAATCTTTTTCCTCATTCTATACGATGAGCATGGCGGATTCTATGATCATGTTCCAACTCCGGTCACCGGAGTTCCTAGCCCCGATGATATTGTCGGTCCAGCTCCATACAATTTCAACTTCGATCGTCTTGGTGTTAGGGTTCCGGCCATCCTTATATCTCCTTGGATAGAACGAGGAACAGGTATGTATATACAGTGGTAGAGCCAATCTTTTTACTTAATTTTGAAGGAAGTTATACGCTAAATTCCTTTTGAAAAATATGAAAATTGCATCAATGTTTTTAATAAAATACCAAATGCATACATACACACACAAGCACACATATATCTGTCGGTTAAAAACTACAAAATTCAGTGAGTTTATAGATAGGAAAACCGAATCTCAGTGGGCCAAAACAAGCAAGTAACGAATATAATTTTTAAAGGGTGATTTACACATATAGCAAAATTTGAATATCAAAGTTTCAATTTAGCAAAAATTTTGAAATATTACAAGAATAGAAAAGTTTTATATCATTAAAGTAATTTTTATATCATTATATAGTATAAAATATGATATCATTATGATAACTACTAGGTCATTTTTGTTATATTTGTAATATTTTGAAAATTTTACTAAATTTCAACATAAGGTATGAAATTTTGCCACGTAGTGTAAAATATGGAATTTTGCTATATTCGTAATATTTTGACAATTTTACTATTTGAACGCGAGGTATGAAATTTTCCCAGTGGGGAAAATGGATTAAAAACTCAAATGGGCCCTAAAGAATGGATAGTTGATTTGCTATAATATTATAGTTTGTAAAAGATGTTTAAATTAGCTATAAATATGTTGTAAATATAACGCTAAAAATAGCGGAACGGCATGTTATTGAGTGGGGCAGTATCTCCACTCTAATATTAAAAGTATAATTTTATTTATAAACTAAAAAATAAAAAATCAACTTGCACTCATAAGAAAAGTTATAGTTGTGCTTAATTATTAGTAAAAACTTATCTCCAACTTTTTTTTCTTTTTTTTTTTTTTATGTCCACTGCAAATTTAATTCTTTTTACTCCGCCAGAGACACGTGCAGAATCATGTTTCAACATAGAAAATTAGAAATAGAGAAAAATATTGTATTGTGTTTAGAGAATTTAAAGTAATATGAATTGAGTATGATGATCACCATTTTGAAATGTGTTTATATATTATTATGCAGTGCTGCATGGGCCTTCAGGGCCGAATGCTTCATCAGAATTCGAGCATTCCTCGATTGCAGCAACAGTTAAAAAGATTTTCAACTTGAAAAACTTCTTGACAAAGCGTGATGAATGGGCTGGAACATTTGAAAGTGTCTTCCTAAGCAGAACCATTCCAAGAACAGATTGTCCAGGTTAACCCTTTATATATTTATATGCATACATACATACACACACACACACACACACGAGTAAATTATACTGTGACACCCTAATTTTTCTTTTTATAGTTTTTATAAATGCACCACAAATTTTTAAATTTAGCAACTTGCACCCTCAAACTTTTAAACTAGTAACAATTGAGATTCAATAGTTAATAAGCGTGAATTATCGTATTGACATTTATAGTATGGGATTCGCACATGAAAAGTAACGGTTGTCATTTTTCAAACTAAAATGAGTGTATAATTTTTTATCCTATACTGTTAATTTGATAACACCCTCAAGTTATTGGACTTGATCATGATTTTTACCGATTTGAAAATTCAAGGTATAGTTTATAAAGTGAAAGTTTAGGATGTTTGGTGGATTCATTGAACTTAATTCATCATCGCTTGTCATATTATTTTGTTACTTTGCAGTAACTTTGCCAGAACCCATAAGACTACGTGAAGCTGATCAAGCAAAAGAAGACGCTCATGTCAGCGAGTTTCAAGCAGAGTTGGTGCAAATGGCGGCGACATTAAATGGCGACCATAACAAAGACGTTTATCCTCACAAATTGGTGGATAACTTGACTGTTTCTGAAGCTGCTAAGTATTGTGACGGTGCGATTAAGTTATTCTTGGATGAGTGCGAGAAAGCCAAGCAAAGTGGAGTTGACGAGTCACATATTGTCGTTTGTAGTGCGAGCCCAGTGCCGGCACCAAAACGACAGAATTCGCCTAAGTCGTTTGCTCAGAAGATCTTTTCTTGTTTGATATGTGATAATTAAACCTTTTTAGTGCTTTGCTCATTAGGTTGAATAGCAAATTGTTGTGAGATTTTGTTTTGAAAACTGGCATAGTTTAATTTCCATGCATATATATGTCTTAATTGTAATATATGTGTTGATTGGAACTTATTTTCATTGCTATTTTTTAATATCTTTTAGAAGGAAAATTTATTCTTATCTTTTAGTAAAAAAAAAAAAGGTGTTATACAGAAATTTTCTTTATGACATAAGATGATGAACACTTATAATATGTTCATCACTTCACAAATGCCAAAATTAAGTCTTTTTTATATTTAATTGGCTATGAAAGTGAAACTTCGGAAAAGAGAGAATCAGAAAAGGAAAACACAACCATCCCTGATTTTCCTTTTTAAGCACGTTACCACTTTGATTTATTTTCCAGCAGTCTTGGTAATAGTCCTGAAATGGACTGCATTTTTAAAATTCTGTGTAATTAAATTCTCTTCACTATATATATAAAAGCCTATGAAATTAAATTATTTTGCACTTTGATATAATTGTTTTTCTAATTTTTAGCTTTTGGGTCACCACTCAATAGGCAAGTTGTTATCACAATATTAAACATAGTATATTTCAGCGTCGACAATTGCCAATGTCATTAAAAGATTGATGTCATACTGAAAAATGTTTACTGATGACACGTGCACTAATTAGTCGTGTTGTAGATCAAGTGATGAAATATTTTAGCAATGACAAAAGTCATCTCTAATTTCTAAATAGATCTTGGTGTTACAGTTGGATAACACAAAAAGAGAGATTGACATTTAATTTATAGATTTAGAATCATTTCAGTTTACGTGTGTTTTTTTAAGAAAAAATACTATAGCAAATCACGAATTATGATCCGAACTATGACACAGATCCTTATTCTAAACACATGACAATGCTTAAATTTTCAACTTTTTCAAAAATAAAGAAAAAATGAAATTTATCTTTGGCAATGATGTTCAACGGAATTTATCTTCCACAATGACGTTTATAGACGTTAATTAACTTATTTGTTTTTTTTAAAAATTATTTATATATAATTAAAAATATTACTTATATTTGTTATATTTAATTAATAATGTCGAATTATTCAAATTTGTTAATTTGTATTATAAAACTAAATTAATTATTTATTAAATAATTGTATCTGCTTTAAATATGATCTTTTACAATTTTTCAAATCGTAGTACAATATATTAAATTAAGGTAAAGTAGTGCAAATGATATATATTAAGAGATCGTTTAGTTCGCTGATTCGAGTTGAGATGCGATTTTATATGAAAATTTTTTACTGTAGTAAAAAAATTAGATGTGACTATTTCTAAGAGCTTTTTATTGTAGTAAAACTTGAATCGGTGAAATGAACGGGGCCTAAGTTGCATAATAAACACATAATAACATAAGTGTTAGTGTATGATATAAACGTGGATTTGAAGTAACATTTGTTTCCTGTCAGGTCAGCATCAGAAAATGCATGTGGAGCCAAAGGGGATTGATGATGAAGAGCTAGTCCCAGATCATAGTGCCGCAAAGCGTAAAGTTTCTTAAAAACATTTCAGTGATTACAAATAAGGTGGTGCGTAAACTAGATTAGTTTTTATCGCAAAAACAATATCGGACCATGTATGATATAAATATTGGAGATTGCTAATGATGGTTCGATATTCGAAGTTTGTGTAATACCTTTGTTTGGTTACAAGGATAGTTCTTTTTTTTTTCCCCCTCAAATTGTAATGTTATTTCCTCAATTTAACGAAAAAACAGTGATAATCGAGAATTTGGCTAAAATAGCCGAGTAAAAAATAAAATTAAAAAAATAACTTTTTTATTTTTATTTTATTTATTTTATTTGAAGAAAACAACTTTGTTGGCGACATAGATCCCGACTGAGTAGAACCGATGTCGTGAAGGGTTTTTGTTGAGGAGATGCTCGTGAATTGACGCCGGAGAAGAAAGTCGGCCTCGCATCACACAAATCGGCATCGGAGAAGGAGATCGGCATCATGAAGCAACCCCGACCTAGACATCGCGTGTTCGGCCTCTGTTCACGGCGAAATTCTCTGGAGAAGATGATCTGTGAAGGGGGTGGAGATATTTTTAGGATTTTTGTCGACTATTGATGTTTTCTTGTATCTCTGCCGTTATTTCTCCATTCACTCAGACCAAATCTGGCCATGAGATATTTTCAGTTAAAGAAAATCATTTTACAAATAAAAATTTTTGAATTGTTATTTTGTGAATAAAGCTTTTCTATTAGATTTTCTAAAAACGAGGGTAGCATTCTAATATTACTATTCTTAAAATTAATTTAGGCACCAAATTATGTCGTTTCATGTGAAAAAGAACTTATAGATGTCGTTTCAAACGAAAATGGCTCACGCCGTCTTCAACCTCTCTCTCCCAGCACAAAGCAAATCCCAGCCATTCGGAAAACTGTAAAATAAGCTCTCTCTTTGACTATCCATGAGCAGCAGCGACACTTCCAAGTCAAAGACAAACCGTGATTGCTGCTACTGCTGCTGCGTTTCTCACGAATTCTCACGAGCAGCTTCCCAAAACCCCAATAAAGTCGCCCTCATTCACGCCTCCGGCGACTTCCGCGCCGGCGCCGACCGTCCTAACTCCTCGTCATCGTCGTCATCTCCGCCGCTCTACCATGGTGACCGCTGCTTCACCTACTCACAGCTTCTCGCCGCCGTCGATTCCCTCGCCTCTCGCCTCCGCTTCCTCCGCGTCCGTACGCCGGAGCCGGCAGTATTCGGAATATACATTCCGCCGTCGGCGGACTACGTGGCAGCGGTGCTGGCCGTGATCAGGTGCGGTGAGGCGTTTCTGCCTTTGGATCCTTCCTGGCCGAAAGCTAGGGTTTTGTCAATCATCGCTTCATCGAACGTCGATCTCGTCATCGCGAGCAAATCTCCTTCCGGCGCGGAACTGGACTCGGATTGGATTTCCGAGTCGGGAAAATTTGATGTTTTGTGGTTTTCGCTTAAAGAAGAAGGGAACGGAGAGTCTCGAGCTTTGGATTGGCCGTGCGAGAATCGAGAGCAGAGGCCTTTCTGTTACGTGATGTACACTTCGGGATCAACGGGGAAGCCCAAAGGCGTTTGTGGAACTGAAAAAGGTACCACATTTCTTCATTTGAGCTATTGGATTCATTTTTTTGTTCTTTCTGTAACCAAGAATTCTGGAAAATTTTCGTAGGACTTTTGAACAGATTCATGTGGATGCAAGAATTGTATCCCCTGAGTGGAGAAGAAGTTTTGTTGTTCAAGACGTCGATAAGCTTTATTGATCACTTGCAAGAGTTTCTCAGTGCTGTTCTCACTGCTTGTACGTTGGTCATTCCTCCTTTCAACGTGCTAAAGCAAAATGTGTTTTCTATTGTTGATTTTATACAGGTATATTTATCTCCATTTTGTGGGTTTATAATGAATGTCTGAATCTCAATGTTCGTTTCTGTTAATAAAAAGTATGTTTATTTACTTGAAGCTTGAAGGCTTATGTTATGCAAATATAGAGTTGGGTTTTCTTTTCAGTAGAAGATATATAGTGCTTAACTTATGGAGTTTTATTTTTGGTAAATGTTCTTGCTTTCTGGGTCAGGAAAGAAATGATATTACTAATTATATTTTTATTTATGGTGAATGTTCTTGTTTTAGGGAGCTAAGTGTCATGTTTTCCAGCCTGTTTTTTCGTCTCTGTTTTTATCTTTTGTTCTCTTTCTTTTTCCTGCTTTATGAGCATTCCTTGTGCTTTCACCTTTGTACTTGTTTTCCTAACAATGAAAGGATTTTTTTAAATACATATATATATATATTTATATATACATGTTATGTATGATTATTTTTTTTAATCTTATTTCTCTTGTAGGCTTATTCTATTGATAGGCTTACTGCTGTTCCATCACTGATGAGAGCAATCCTTCCTACTTTGGAAAGTCGGCATGACACAGGTGTTCTTAGTTTGTTGAAGTTGTTAGTGCTAAGTGGTGAAACTCTGCCATTAGATTTATGGGAAACACTATCCAGGGTATTCCCCAAGACCTCTATTCTGAATTTGTATGGGAGCACAGAGGTTAGAATTTAAGGCCGTCTTTTTTTTATTCGATAATCTAATTGATATTTCAAGTTTCTGTTTTTTGGTTTGATTATTATTTTTTATTATTAGAAAACTTCATGTCATTGATAATATAATCAAATTCAATGGAAAGAGGATGGCAAATTATCGAAGAACAAAAAAAAAAAAAAAAAAAGCTAAATTGAAAACTGTTATAAACCCATTAGGTAGAACTCACCCTTGCAAAACCGTCTTGTAAGGGGAGGGAACCCAAGGGCTAACAAAAACAAAACAGAAAAACACTATGGAAAGGACAAAGCTAGAGAACGGCATGAATCCTAACAACCTATCACATTCTTCCAATTAGAGCAATCAAAGTAAAAGGAAAATCCTTAAAAGCTTCATTCATGATATACCCAAGACATATTGGATCTGGACTGATATAAGACCTGTTTTCCGGGCTGTGTTTGTTTGTTTCCTCCCTTCTACCCTTTTCTTTGTCCTTTTCCGTTTTGGATTATTACAGGGAAGTATTTCATAAAGCTCCATGAAGATAAGATATATGTAACCCATAACATTTTAAGATAAACGTTGGATTATCGTAGAAATAATTTTTTCCCCTCTCTGACGTACTGCATGATAACAATCTGCGTTTTCTTAAGGTTCCTTCATGAAATGTATATATCTTCTTTTTGCTAACAACTGAAACATGCAAACACCTTCCGTCTACATAAACTTTACAGTTTTGCATCTTTCTTATTTGTTTGGGGCCTTGGGATAGATAAGGATATTGTTACATTGCTTTCCTCTTTGGTCCTTTTCTGATTGGTTTTTGCCAAAGAGGTTTTAGATGAGACATATACTGGGGGTTGTTATTCCAAGGGAAGGTAGTTACACGACCTAATGAATACTTTGCAATTTTGGCTGGGAAGGGACATTGATTCTCTACGAGGGTTTTTTCCCTTAGCTTTTATCTTATCATCTCAAATAAGTTGGTCAATGGCCGTGCTGGCGTAGGATTAGTCTTCTAGTTGCTTGCCAACTTTGTGGGTTGTGACTAGTTGATCATGATGCTTGATGCTACCTATTCTAATTAAAAAAATTTATATAGCATCATTTATCTTAAGAATAAGAGCAAGTTTTCTTTTGTGCTCATGTCATGATTGATTTTGCTGACATGCGGATTACTAAATCAGGTATCTGGTGATTGTACTTATTTTGATTGCAAGAGGCTGCCAAAGATTGTAGAGTCTGAGACATTAACTAGTGTTCCAATTGGTGTACCCATTGCTAATTGTGATGTTGTACTTGTTGATGATGATAACTTAGCCGATCAAGGAGAAATATATGTTTCTGGTATTTGCAATTCTACTGGTTACTTCTCTGATTCTACATACATGTCTCTGGAACAAGTAAAGTTGCCCCAGGACTGTGCCAATAGTGGTTCTGCTGCAGATGGACATGGGGATATATTGTATTTCCGGACCGGTGATTTTGCCAAAAGGCTTGAAGGTGGTGACTTTGTTTTCTTGGGCAGAAAAGACCGGACTATTAAGCTGAATGCACAACGTATTGCTTTAGAGGAAATTGAAGGTGCATTAAGGGGACATCCAGACGTAATTAATGCTGCAGTCATCTCCCATAAAATTCTAGGGAAAATTGAATTATTGGTAGCATTTTTAATTTTAAAAAAGGAAAGATGCAATGAAATTTTGAGATCTCATATCAAAAGTTGGATGCTTGGCAAACTTCCGTTAGTGATGGTTCCTAACTTCTTTATTTACGCTGAAGCATTTCCCATGACTTACAGCGGAAAAGTTGATTATAAGTCATTGACTTCAGAATTTCTTGCAAAGCATGTCCAGAATGAGATTCAGGATATTGGAAATGCTAACCTATTGCAAGTTTTTAAAAAGGTTTGCTATTCCCCTCCAATATATAAAATCGTGTTCTTTCTTCAGTGTCTCTCTGAATAGTGAAAATTATGTGGTTTACAGTTTCCTTTCAAAGCATTCTTTTGTCAATAGCTGAAAGTGTCAACATAAAAAAGAAGGAAACAAATGATAGTTAGAAGACTCAGAATTCATATGTCTATCCATTATTTCTTTCTTTGGTAGGTAAAAGTTTTTAACTTTCGAAAAGAATGAAACCACAATAGTTAGAAGACTCAGAATTCATATGTCTATCTATAGTTTCTTTTTCTTTTTTTCTTTTTTTTGTTTTGTTTTTTTAATGGATTTTTAATAGCGTTTCTATAAGATATTTATATACCATTGTTGATTTACACATTCACGAATTTTAAGAAAGATTTTCCTGTCCTCAGCGTGCTGAGCATTACCCTGAATGGAAACGTTAAACATATTATTTTGGTGTTCATATATAGAAATAGAATCCTTTTGTCGTGAAGTAGGAATTCACTCTATCCTCACTCCAGTTTTTAATCATAGGTTATAGATTGACCTTGTTTCACCGTCCAGGCATCGTTGGCAACAAAATTGATAAAGAAAGAATGGACCTCTTATTATTATTATTATTATTATTTTATTATTATTTTATTTAAATTTTTATGGCCCACGTTTATCCATCCATTAACTGAAAATTGATTATTATTATTATTATTATTTTATTATTTAAAATTTTTATTATTTTATTATTTTATTTAAACTTTTATGGCCCACGTTTATCCACCCATTAACTGAAAATTGATTTCTGAACATTTAGTGAGATTAGTCTTGAGAATCCTTTGAATAGGAAAGTCGCTGTATGATGGTTTGCAGGCCTTTTGTGATGTATTGATGGTCGAAGAGGTTTCTGATGATGATGATTTCTTTTTGATGGGAGGAAACTCTATTGCTGCTGCACACCTTTCGAATAACCTAGGAATTGACATGAGATTGCTTTATCACTTTCCTAGCCCATCTAAGCTTTCTACAGCTCTTCTTGAGAGGAAAACATCGTTGGATTCGGGTTTGAGAAAGGACGCTAATTGGGGTATGAATCTGAAAGAGGGAAACATGCTGTTGACTCAAGGGCTTCTTACTTACCAAACAGTGAACTACTGAGAACGCTTCATGGAAAGAATGACAGTCATGCTGTTATCATAAATAGGTTGGAGCTGGATTCGAGAGTAAACATTACTTCCGAGGGCCTCACTCTGGCTAATGGGTATCCATGGAGTGCAGGCTCAATGCGTTTTTCGTGTTCATTCAGCCGGTGCAACAAGTTTATGCATGAAGCTGATGACCGAATGAATGGTGTTCACCAAGAAAACTGCGCAGAAGTCCCAAGAAACAGGAAAGTTTCAATGCAAGAATTATGGAAAGTTCACTTGGGATCTTGTGTTGATGCATCACCACTTATTGTGTTTAAAGGCCCAGACATCCACTTATATATTGGATCTCACTCGCATGAGTTTCTGTGTGTTAATGCTCAAAGGTGAGCTATACCTTTTCATCTCATCTTTATAGAGTGTTGCGTACCCCGTTATCATTGTATTTATCATGATAGATATTGTTGGAGCTTTTGGAGATCATTTTGTTCTTTGTATTCCAATGTTACATGAATCAAAATATTCTTTAATCTTTTTTATTATAGGGATTTGTCAAAGTTACTGGAAACTTTTAAAGTCGATGCTGATGTGATTATTTAATATGTTTTATTTTTCCCTCTTGGAGGTGATGTTGGTCAAGCATGGATGATAATTTGACCAAACATCATATTTGAAAAAAAAAAAAAATCTGCTCTATTGAGTATCCCTGAGACCTAGCACCTTTTTATTTTTATTCATTTATTTATTTTGGCAAGGGAAGTGTGGTGTAATTTATCAGTTTTCTAACCAGTCTCACTCAGTCTCCAACTATCCTTCCATTAGTATCAACAATATAATTGAGTCATTGAATATCAAAGCTGAAAACTTTTGTAGCTTAGGTGGTTTTCTAGCAACATAATTTCATTAAGGCCAAGCAAAGGCAAGAATATCTAAATTATACAGCATGGATATCCACTTTTAATTTTATGTTTGTACTATCATATAATTTCGTTTAGTGGTTATGTCCAGTGGAAGATCCAGCTAGAAGGACGGATTGAATGTTCAGCAGCTATTCTTGGTGACTTTTCTCAGGTTGTGCTATGAATTCTACTATCCTTGTGCTAATAAGCTTTATGAGTCTGGCCCAATCTTTCTTCCGCGACTGTTTCGTAGCTCTCACATGTAGTACCTTTTCTAGGTTGTTGTTGGATGCTACAAAGGGAAATTATATTTTATGGATTCTTCAAATGGGCATATCTATTGGACTTTCCAAACATCTGGTGAGGTATGGCTGGCTTAATACCGGGACTATTTTCTATGTTGTATATGCGATCATGGAGTCCTTTGATTGGTCTAATGGTTGATAAATTCATATTATGAAGGTGAAGTCTCAGCCAGTTGTTGACATTCGAAACCAACTGATCTGGTAACAGTTTTTTATCCTTGAATGAATTATTTTCTACAATAACTAATTAACTGTTACACAACGTGGTTAATGGGACCTAGATTACCTATTATGTACTACTACTTTTTCCTTGAAGTCAAACTTTGATGTCTGAAACTACCTGCAGGTGTGGATCACATGACCATAACCTATATGCTCTTGACTACATGAATCATTGCTGTGTTTATAAGGTTTCATGTGGTGGCAGTATATTTGGATCTCCTGTGATTGATGAGGTAAATTTTAGAAATTCATTGGTTACATAATTCGTCTCAGTTGCTGAAAGTTCATGTTTTCCTTTACAATAATTATTTTACTCTTTTACCCACCGTTGTAGATACTCTTTAATATTTTGGAGGTGCACCGTGTGACCTATCTTTGTTTAACTTTGATTCCATCTTCTTGTTCGATTATATTAAAAATCATTAGTCATCTCAACTTTTGTATAGCATTCTTTCAGCTTGAAAATCTACTTAATGTGAAGCTTTATCATGCATATATATTTGCATAATAAGTTAGGCAAGTTGTATGATGTTTTGTTGGAACTTTTATCTATATCTGTTTCTCCTTATTTTAAGTTTTTAATATTTACTTTTTGTTTCTTCTCATTTTAGTATTGTCTCTTGTGTACTTTTGTTCATTGATTCATTTATTTATCACTCATTGATTCATTTATTTATTTATTTATCACTCATTGATCCCCCCATCAATTCGTTTAGTGTTGTTATGGAAAGAAAAATGAGAGATGGAAGAAAACAGTGTGTAGAAAGAATGTTCCAACTGCTGGTAGTTTATTATGTTGTCTTCTAATAAGTCAGATGTTGCTTATGTTTATCAAATTTTAATGCAGGTCCAGGATGCGCTTTATGTGGCTTCTACGAGTGGCCAGATAACAGCGATATCAATAAAGGTGAAAAAAAAAAAAACAGTATTATGCAACAATAAATCATGTCTGTTTAAATAATTTTTCCATTGTTTTAGCTATGGTGGTTTGTTCACGTTACTCTTTTGCAATGCAGGCTTTGCCATTTAATATTTTGTGGCAGCAGGAGTTAGAAGTGCCAATGTTTGGATCTCTTGCCATTAGTAGTCTGACTGGAAATAGTATGTGTGTGTTGTTCATTTAACTTGTGGTCCTGTCATCATTGTTAGTAACCTTTAAATATTGCTGTTGGACTTATTTTGTATTTTATTTTATTTTTAAATGAATATCTTGCATTTTATCTGTTACCTGTTAGCTTTTCTCTTTTAATATATATATATATCTTCTTATTAAATTTGTTCCCTTTTTTTAATGCAGTTATATGCTGCCTGGTAGATGGGCATGTACTAGCATTGCATCCAAGTGGATCCATTATCTGGAAGGTATGATTTTCTTTGTTGTTTAAAATCTAAATTCTAGGATTTCATATTCATATACAGTCTTAACATATTGGCATGATCTGTTTAATCTGCTGAAAAACATTCTAGTGTTTTGGTGCATCTATCACCATTGTAACTCCCTGACTCTGAGTACGTTTCTACCCAAAAAATATGCAATTAAATAAATAAATAGGGTATGCAACTATGTACTACTAGAGAAGTTTGCAAAAATAGTTCTTCAAGCTGTTATGTGGACCCTCAGATTTTAGAATAAAGTAATACCAAGGACGCAACTTGTTTATCATATATTCGCCACAAGCTGAGGTGATATGCATTTGTTCTGCTGCATCGCAACATGGTGCCGTAATAGCGTGTGAAGTTATCTTTATTGATCTTTTTGGGAAGGGGGAAAAAAAAGCGTTGATGCAGCTGAAGGAAAATTTTTTGTGCATTTTATGCTCTCTGTAGATGATTGTAATCATCTGAAGGAAAACTCTTAGTGCATTTTAATTTTAGATGTAAAATGCTTTAAAGGATGCTTTGCTAGTTCCTCAGGCACATACTTTGTAAAGTTATTTTGTGTAAAAAAACCTATTTTGGTGTGTCTTTCTCCATTCCAGTGTTAGCATCTAATTAAAATTCCTTAATTGATGTATCCGTGTGCCTGTTTTGATCCTATGCGAGAAAACAAAGTGACTACGGTACAAGGATGGTTAACTCTTCCATATTATGTAACTTATTATGTGATTCATTATCTTCCATTTTTTTTTTTTTCAATTATCTTTCAAATGAATCTATCTGTGTTGCCCTGTACTTCATCTCTCCCATATGTTTTTTATTACTTATTTTATGTTTGTTTCACTATTTCCTTTTCTCCTTCTGGTGGTGTCATTCTTTCAGCGTAAAATTCCCGGTCCTATATTTGCTGCAGTTTGCATGTGCTCTGCTCTTCCTTCTCAGGTACATTTTTATGGATAATAGTTCTTCCCCTGGTTTAATTCTTAAAGCACAAGTTTAATTGATCAAAATATTGTTTTCTCTAAGATGCCTACGAATATAAAATAAACATAGACCATGATATGTTAACTTTTTCTTTGTTTATGGATTTGTTTTTCCTTTTTATCTTTCTACAGGTGCTCATATGTTCGAGAGATGGAAGTGTATATTCATTTGAACCTGTAAGTTCCTGCATCAATTTTATCATCTGTGTTCTTGTTATGTTTGTGTTTGTTATTTCCCCACAATCTAAAAAAGGTGGAAGTGACTAACTTGCAGTTCTTGGAAATTGCATATATGGTTTTACCATAGGCACACAGGCCAATGTTACTAACTTATGTCATCATTTTCTAATTCATTTTTACAATCGGAACTCTGCATAACATTGTTTTGATCTTATTAGGGACTAGGCTTTTCCTTTTTGTAATTTCATGTGTTCTAGTTTTGGAGGATGGCTCATTGTCCTCTCGCATCATTTAGTCATTATTACCATTAATAAAACTTTTTAGTTTCTTTCAAAAAAAAGAAAAGAAAAAAGGGACAATGTTTTGGCTATCAGAAGAGGGTGATGGTAGACAAATCGTTCATATTTATCACTGTTGAAAGTTTGTTGTCTAATGTAATCTGCTTCCTGCTCATACTGCTTGGCTTCTTTCATGTGGTATAATAGGAAAAAGAACCAAGAAGAAAAATTATATGTTCAATTTGTATTTAATTGTAACCGATAAGTAGTTATCTTGTACTCAAAGCCGTAATCGTTGTTCCATCTCGGAAATATACCATGTGGATGAACCATTTAACTCGCCGAAAATTGGACGTTGATGACTGTTTTGTTCAATCCAGGAAAAGGGTAACCTACTATGGAAATACAGTGTTGGGGATCCGATTACTGCCTCAGCTTACGTCGATGAGCACGTGTGCTTGACGTACGGTTCTTCCCCTTCGTCAGATAGGTAAATGAACTTTATAGAGAATTAGCTTAGCAAATATCATGCCATCTTATAGGTCTTACTATAAACTAATTCAAAAAACACTTTTCAGATTGGTTTGCGTCTGTTCGAGCTCTGGAAGCGTAATTTTGCTCCGAGTTAACGTGGATGTCACCAATGGAGTAGATGTTGAGGAATTTGCAAGGCTAGACCTCCAAGGAGATGTGTTTTCTTCTCCTGTGATGATTGGTGGCAGAGTTTTTGTTGGTTGCAGAGACGATTATGTGCACTGCCTTGCTGTTAACATATGAAAGGTCTTTCAGCACAAAAAGGAAAAGGAAAAAGTCTCTTTTGATACCGGAAGAAAATAATAAGAGATTCGAATTAGTTACGGTTTTGATAGAGATAAGGGTAGGCAGCTGTCGTAGAGAGAGGTAAAGCCGTAAATATTCCTTAGTATGAATTTTATTGCAATATAATATAATAATGCGTTACCATATTTTTTTAGATTTCATTTTTATTTTTGATGACAAAGCACGCAAAAATATATATATATATATATATATTTAGAAATCAGAATTTACGTAAATGTTCCAAAAAGATTAAATTAAAAAAAAAAAGGAATTTACGTAAATGTAATGCATACAATTAGGAAACACCAAGACCCGCTTTTATCGCCAGTGCATTTATATCTCGTTTGAAACCGTCCAGGCTCCAACCAAAATCAGAAGACAGACAAACAGAGACAGTTGTATTTACATTTTCTTCTCGTATTACCCTTTCTTCTACATGGACCAGAGGGAAGGAGATGTCAGGGTCTACATCATCTCCGGTTTCTTCTTCTCCTGCATCGTCTCCGGCGGTGTCTTCCTTGGCCTTTACATGTTTCTCCCCGAAACTCTATCCTCAGCTTGGTATCCCATTGCAGGAATGATACTTGTCTCCGTTCCCTGGGCCTTTTGGTTCTTCACCTTCTTGTACCGTTGCTTCAAACCCGACCATCCTCCCCCGCAATTCGACAGCAGTGCCCGCTTCTCCAAGGGTGGCAGCAGCACGCGAGATCCATCGACAGCAAATGGCAGCCCCATAGCGGCAACAGCGACCAACGCCATGGCCTCCGAGTCTCCAAATGGGGAGTCCCCTGGTGGCGGCAGTGAGCGACGGGTTCAATTTGGGCCGGTTGTCGTTTTGGGAGGCCAGGGTGAAGGCCATGCAGGTGCGGCAACAACAAGGGATCATCACGAACAAGAAGCAAATGAGGCTTCAAATTGCTCTAGAGAAAGCGAAATGCCTTTAAGATTATCGATTTAGTTTAGTATTTGTTGGAGATCATGGCGTGGGATGTTATATTGGGCTATGCAAATGGATGATGGTGATTTTCTTTCCATGATGGACAAATCGATGGCTTGAGTTTGAATATGAATTGCAAAGACATGTATTGAATGATCAAACAAGTCATATATTCAAATGGATGATGCTCGTGTTGGTGTAGCTTTCGGTTTGACTATTCGCATCCAATGAAATGAGATGATCAATTTTTTGAAGAAAAAGTGATGTGTGAGAGTTGTTAAGAGGTAATTAATTCCTTTCAGATCTCCGTTTATGGATGTAAAGAGTCTTTTGCAGTACTAACATGAGAAGTAGGAAGAAAATGACGAAACGTTCTTTTGTATTTGTGCTCTTTTGATTTCCACAAAATGATTTTCCAAAATAATTTACCATGATGCAAATATTCTGAAGAAAATTTTCATTTAAAGCCTAAGGAGGGTAAGTAACTGATCTGATCCCCTGTTTATGCGGTTGTTAATCTAATTGTCGTCTTTCAAAGAGATCTACAAAATAAAGGACTTCTTTCTTTGCTTTTTCGTGCCATATATTCTGCAGTAAAATTAGCTCATCAATTGCTACCAAATTATGTCAACACCAAGAAATTCGTTACACAAGAAAAATTAAGAATTTTATTGGAAATTACTAATGGAACTTGCCAATGAAAATCCAATATTTGACACATGATGGAAAAACAAAACATGCACAAAACAAGGAATTTATATGTGATGATACCACCTCCTATGGATAAACCTTCTTTTTCTTCTTTCCTGGGCAATTGCAATTTGTCACACTACTACTGATGCAGCCAAACTTCCTCTTCATTTCTTTCCACAAGCTCACCTTTTCCTTCTTCACTATTCTGAAGCCGCAATCTTTCTCAATCTCCGTCTTCATCACACAGCACTCTCTTTCAAGTTCCATCAATTTTTTGCTAATCTTCTCCATGTCTGACCTCATGCTCTCCTCACCACTCCCTAACAATGCTGCTTCTTCCTCTTCCTCTTCCTCTTCCTCCTCTCCGAGCCTGCGACCATCTTTAGACCCCGGAATCTCCTTCATGATCGCGTTCCGCAGCTGCACCTGTGTAACAAACAAGACCTGCAGGACCACCCTTGTTGGCAGCCTCTCGTTTTTCGCAGCATGCTCACAGGCTTTGGGGGACATCTTGTCAATATTCAACACCTGACACACTTTCTCGCGCTCAGACTCCGACAGATCCCTGTGCGTGTCTAAGTAGATGTCAATCCCCTTGTATATTCCATCCGAGCTTCCCAGGCATCCATTTGACACCTGCTTTGACATCTCTGCTAGTGCAGTGAATGTCTCTGTCTTCAAATCTATGTCACTTGCAATTTCTGCCAATAATTCTTCGACAAGCTCAGCCACTGCAATCAGGTCTGACATCTTCGAGCTATTGTAGTTTCGATAGAAGTGCGTCAAAATCCTCCTCACACATTCTACATCATACTGCACTTTCCTGGCATAGCTTTGGGAGAGTGTTAAAAGGTCATTGACTGTTGCTTGATTCAGATTTTTCCCAATTCTGAGCTCTAGTCTGTCCATACACTCCGAGCTTGCGACCAAAAGGTTTGTACATCTCAGCATTTCAAACAACAAATTGCAAGGGACAAGTCCCATTTCATTAGGCAAAAGCCTCTCCACTGCTTCAACAATTTCCCTCTGTGAGTTTCTCGTGCGTATGTCAACTTTTTCATCGGCTCCTGGGGGAGTTTGAAGGACCCATTTCCTCACATAGTTGCATAGTGATGCAGTGACATACTCTAATGGAACTCCTCTCTTAACCATTTCGCAAATGAGTGGCTCATACAGCCTGAGAGACAGTGCTGTCAGATCCTCAAACGGCCAGTCAATGGCAAAGAGCCTTCGCTTGACATTTGGTCGAAAATCATCATCTTCATCCTCACTGCCGTCGAAACACGCTCTCTTGATTGGATCTCCAAGAAGTTGAGGATCAGATATCGCCTTTGTAATGATGGAGTTGGCACAAACAGCAACAAGGCCGAGCTCTATGGCTTTGTCAAAGATGTTTTCGGTGGTTTGAAAGGCCTTTACAGTTTCATTCCAAATAGGGAGGATATTATGTTCAAGGAATAAAAGAGCCTTATTTAAGAGATTGTTTTTGCTGTGAGCTTCTGTCATTCCAAGGTAGTGAGCAAGACAACTTAGGGGTACAACATTCTCTGCGGAAAATGTCAGATCATGGCCAGCACAGAATCTTGCTACAAGCTGGAAAGTCTCCGGGTTAGCTGGGATGTCCGCGAGAAAATGCGAAAGGTTTTGCAGGGATCTTTCTTTGAGTAAGAAAGCAATTTTAGCACATCTTACAGCCATAAGTTCCTAAACAAGAATGAAAAAATTGCAACTCAACTTATTGCTATAAAAATAGATAGCAATATGAGCTTATTCATTTCATTTCAAGATGACGAATTCAAGAACATATAAAAAACAAAAAGATACATATTAGTTTATCCAAAATAAAGAAGCAAACCACTTACAAATAGCTCGGTTTCTGATGGAGATGTAGGCTTAGTAATCCTGAAAACAAGAGAATGAAAACCTGAATGTGGAAATTCTTCAGTTATGAAAATTAATCCGGAACAAAATAAATTAGAAATTTGCTTACCATGTTGATATTTCTGTGCTTTTCCTATTCGCCATTTCGCGGTAAATCTCTGACTATGCAGCTTGCAGGAAGTAGAGTTTCAGGTGAATTGTTAGCCTCCTTTTTGAAATGGGGTTGCAAAACCAAGTTCAACTTGTTTTCCTCTTTATGATCAAATTGGGAAAAAAAAAACTTAGCAGTCCTAGAAAATAACAGAACAAGGTAAGGAAACTCAAAAAAAATTATGAAGTAAAATGGGCATAAATTAGAATTCTCGCCTAACATTTAAAAAAAAAAAAAAAAGTAGCTCAGAATAGGCAAGAACTACAGACATAAACGTAAAGAGCAAAATAGAAAGAAATTGCATGAACTTCTGATAAATATGAGTTTTGAATACACAAAAAAAAAAAAAAAAAAAAAAAAAAAAAAAAAAAAAAAATTTAAACTGATTTCCTGAATTTGAGGATTCTCAGGCTCCAATATCTGAGATAGGTTAGCTAGGATTTACAGTTACTGATTTTATGGTAGTATTTTCTGCAGCTGTTTTATCCTTACGTAACTTATCACGAATTTAAGTCTCAAAAATATTAAGGTTAATTCTATTAATTAATTTTTTTCTTAAATAAAGATTAATATTGATCTTTTAATAGATTTGTTTTAAGAGAAATTAAATACAACTGGAATTTAGTATAAAAAAAAGCATTTAAAAGAATTGATATTATAAAGTTTTTATTTGTCAATAACTTCTAATATTTAAACTTTTTTCTTTTAAGATATTGACTATTCTTTTCTTATATTCACTTGTGGCAGATATCTTGTCAAAGATATCTTAACTTTCTTTTCAACACTCAAAAGTTGAAAGAAAAATGCCTTGATTATCATTATAACTACTAAACATATGACTTCAGCTTCTTTATTTCTATAACTGAACAACTTCGTCTCAACTTCGGCCTTATTCATACCCATACTCCAGGAAAAAGTTGTTTTTGAAGATTTAGAAAGCTAAAAGATAATAGATCAATCTTTAATGATAGCAATAATGTTATCTCAAAGGTTGCTTCTCTATAATTTTCTTTGTATTTTGTGTAATTTTATTAGTTTTTTTTTTATTGGTAGTAAGATCTTTTGTCTTTGGTTTGTAAAAAATTTCTTACCTTTTTCTATAATTTTTTTTTTTGCTTTAAAAAAATTAAATCATTTCTGTTTTTGTTGTTCTTAAAATTTTTTCATTATTTTCTCTCTTTAGTATTATATTATCATATCAATCGCACGGAGTTTTTATTCTTTATAAGAATATTTGTCATGCATGAGAGGATTTGTTTTACTTACATTTTTTAGTCATAAGATATTAATCTCTGTATGAGAAAATTGAGATAAAAGAGATTAGAAAGATTAATTGAATACCGTAATCATAAATCCTTAAAAATCAATAAAAAAAAATGCTAATATCTCACATCATACAACTCCAAAGAAGAGGAGCATGATTTGAAGTGCCTTTTATTATCTAGCAAACTTCGTTGCTAATCATATATTTTGGTCAAGATTGATATTAAACATACAAAGAAAAAGAAATAAGGCTAATAATAGATTTGATGAAGCACAAGAAATTCATTGCAAAGAGTACTTTCATCGAGAACAAAATGCGAGCGAGTTAAACAGATAACAAGTGTAAGTTTAGAAATTTCTGTCCCAGCTATATATTTCAACACCTTATAGATAAATGATAATACAATTAGTCAAAAAAAAAAAAAAATTGTAGACATATGAAACAAAGAGGTATTTATCGAACTACTACGTGGACTTATTTTAGATATATGATTAGTGTAGTTCTCTGCTGGAAATTATGAAAAACAAATACCACTTTAAAAGAAAAAGGATATATCCTAGATACTAATATATATATATATATATATGTATATATATAACTAAGCACCTTAATTATTGTGTGGTGCAAAAGTGAAAAATTAAAAGATTTTTTTTTGGGGTAAAATCAGAAGGACAAAAGATATTTCATCACACTTAGAATTGAAACCAATAAGAAAACACTAATCCAGTGGGGAAATTTCGGATTAGATAATTCAAAAGAGAAAAGTCCTACCTCTCAAAATTTTAAGATCGATCTCTTGAATATCCGTTGCTCCAAAAAGTTTAAAATTGCAGAAATTTGCCTTCTACTCCGTGAAAAGCTCGTTGGGGGAAGCCAAGGAAACAAAGCTTAATTCGGCTGTGCTTACGTGAAGAGAAGCAGAGGAGTGAGAGTAAATATAATTAGCTGTGTTTTACGTACTTTTAGTTTGAACTAGTCAATAGTTTATTAGTAGTTTCATTTAAATACAATATCTGGATCCAATTATTATCAATAAAAGTGTGATGCGATTTTTATTTTTATTTTTATTTTTTGCTGGTTAAACTGAAAACTTTGATGTGATTATTTCCTTTTTTATAATAATCTGACTTAATTTATTAGTTTTTCGAGTCATTTATGAGATGTTTGGTTCATGGATTAGAATCATGTGATTAGAATTATTTTTAATTTACGTATATTTTTTATGAAAAAAAATACTGTAACGAACTATGAACTATGATTCAAATTATGATTTGAATCATTCAACTAAATATCCTCGTTAATCTGTTGGTCGTAAAATTATGTACTTATGAAGTTCCTCAACCGACGGTTATATAGAGGGCAAAATGGGTGCAATATATGAATTTGCTTCTTCATCTTCTTTTTTTTTTTTTGAGAATTATATGAATTTGCATTTGAATAGCCTAAGCCCATGTTCTGCTTCAACATTTTAAACCAAAAATCAAAACCCCATTTTAATTTTGAAAACTTCCGGAAATTATGGAGGAAAATGTTTTCTTTTCCCCAAGATTGGTTCTTTTCCGGAAAATTGAAGTTGAACAAGTCAACTTCTCCTCCATTTTTTTTTTTTTTGGTCGATGGAGTTTTTCCTTTCTGTAAATCCATGATTTTTTGTACATTATTATCTTCAAGAAAAGTCTCTTTAAATAAGAGCAGTTTCTTAATGTAAGAGTTTAAACACTATTCTTTTTTTATTGGAGTTTAAACAGTCCTTTTTCCAATTTCCATACAAAAATAGCAGGAATTGCCCACCGCCAAAGCTATTTCCAGCCGGTACTGTCGTGGTTTCAACCGGAGATTGAGGACAAAACAAAGCAAGAAAACGGTTGACGATATTCAAGGGATTAAGGAAGTTACTGTTATTGTTTCTCCATTTTTAAATTCAAATTTTAAAGTAATCATAGATTCCATAACCATTTTAAAAGATTACTTATGATACATGTAAATTCGGTGCAATTATGATACATTCGATTTTTGCATTGAATTCCGTATACAGAGTAATCTTATATACATCTATTTTTATTGAATGTCGCATTAATTATAGAACGTAATATTATGTACGTCTATTTTTATTAAATGTCGAATTAATTATAGAGCGTAATGAAAAAGTATATTATTTTATAAACTCTTGTCGACTTCATCAAATCCGTTGTAGTCTAGATGGTTAGGATATTCGGCTCTCACCCGAAAGACCCGGGTTCAAGTCCCGGCAACGGAAATTATTTTTATTTAATTTGTCCAGTTTCTTTTCTTTAGTTATTACTTACTACTCTCATTTTACTTTTCTGGAAATAAGTAACTGTGGAGAAGCTTTTAATAAAAAGTTATGTAACCTATTTATCACAAATTAGATGCAATTGACAATAGTCAACAACAAAATACAACAGTGTTCGAGTACTTTACAACTTTTTATTAAAAAAATTTCTCTCATACGTCAATATACTAGTTGGTTAAGTTTTTTATCTGTTAGATTTACATAAAATCACATAAAAATTAAAATGTATACAAATTTAACGGTTAGAAAAATATGACTTAGCGGCACGTAAAGCATACTAGAGAATCTCCCTAATAAAAAAAAATTTCTTTTTTTTTTCTTGTTTGCTTTCGCTGATCATATAAATAAATAAAAATGTTAAAATTACTCTTTCTATCACTCTCTTTTATCATTTTTTACATTACAGATTGACAATTAAATTTTATTAATATGATATATTATAATTTAAATAAAAAATGAAATAATAGAGTCAAAAAAATACTTTAAGATATCGAAATAACTTTTTTTTTAAAATTATACGATACTTTTTAAAAATAAATAACACCACAATAATTTTTGTTCAATATAAGAGGATTTTATAATAGAGTATGGTAAAATATTCTATCAATAATGCTCCAAAAAACTTTTAAATCTGTTATATAAATTCTCTATTTTACGTATTCTTTTAATGTGATTTTCATTTCGAATTAAACGTTCGCAAACGTTCACATCCCAAACGTGAAAGCTCCATGATACAAGGTACAAACTAAAAAAAGAGCAAACAAGTTTTGTTTTGTTTTTAGGACCTTTTCTATTAAAATTTCTCTATTGACTAGAGAGTGATCGCATCAAAATAAAAAAAAAATAAAAATATATACATAATAGATAATTTTTAATAATATATTTAAAAATAAACGATTAAAAATAAAAATTAACCTTATTTCATTTTGTTATTTTAATTTTTTTTACAGTGTGTTTAGTATAATAGATTATTAAGAGGAAAGAAAAGAATGGAAAAAAAAGTAATGAAAACTCTTATAGTAGTAGTTTAGTAGAGTGAAATAGAAAGTAGAAATGAAAATAAAAGAAATATTTAGGCCATGAGGCCCACTTCTTTTTTATCCTTTCAAATATGGCCAGATTAAAAAAATATATATATTATTCATGTTATCATGAAGTATAATTTTACCCTTTCACATTTTTTTTTACAAATATTATTTATGAATAAAATTTTTTTTCCTCTCAATTTAATTTTGATACCAAACAAATAAATATAAACTCATTTTTTTTATTTTCTCATATCAAATAATATAAAAAAAAAATTAATTTCTTTTCCATCACTACTATTTTTCATACTTTCATACTTTCATATTTCATTTTCATTTTATTTTCTTTCCATCCTCTAGCATAAATCTTTCTTCTTCTCCTTCTTGTTTTTTTTTCCCAATAAATTTGGCTCCTTCTGGGTTGAGTTCTAGGTAGTGGTACCGTAGACACCGTAAAGAATTACGGTGTCTCCTCCAACAAACCACAAAGGTATTTACTCGGCTTTCAGCCTTTATTTGGTTGATGGATTAGTTTACTGATTTAAATTTTTAATTTAAATTAAAATATAATTTTATATAAAATTTTTTTATTATAATAAAAAAATTAGATGTGATTATTTTTAAGAATTTTTTACTATAATAAAATTTAAAATTTAAATTTAAATTATTAAAATAAACGAGATCTATATATTTTTCTGAGCAAAAAAAAAATAAAAAAACAAGAAAAATGGTATCGGACCCGGAAAATTTTGAAGAAATTTTTTGTTATAGTTAATAGTTTTGATTACACATTCGTTAAAAAGAAAAGAAAATCCAAGATTGTTTGTCTGGATCAGAGAAATGGGGAAGGGCTTGATATGGGCGACGGCAGAGGATTTGGCGAGGAACAGGGGAAAAGTGCTTTCTCTTTACCGGCAAATTCTGCGGAGCCTGAACTCGCCGGAGCTTCCGCTTACTTGGGCCGCAAGGCTATCGAAGAAGGCGGAGGTTAGGGCCATCTTCTTGGTCGCTTCTGAAGAGCGTTCTCTCCACAACATTGCTGATCTTATTGATGTCGCCGAGTACTCGCTTTCCCTTTTGAGAAAAGGCCAAATCCCAAAATTTCCCCTCATTTGAGTATGTCCTCTTTCTTCTCAGCCTTACCCAGATTTTTTTTTTTTTGGGTGTGAATTGGGGTTATATTTCTTTGTGGGTGTTTTATTACCAGACTTAAAAAAATTGGGCTTAATGCAATTTTTGACTCATTGTTGGGAAAATTTAGAGAAAATAATTTGGTTTCATTGAAGGGCATTTTGAATTAGGGGTGTTGTTTTGTAATCCGATTGAAAAACTTTATTTACTGATAATAAAAGTGAAATAACATCAGACTTGTGTTGATTAATACCTGCTGTTGGTAGTGACTGTTCTATGTAGTCAATTGGTCAGAAATTGATTAGTTGTGTTAAGATGTTTGCTTAAGTAGGAGAGTTGTCTTTGAGGGTCATAATGGAAAGATTATATGGTTTTGTAGCAATTTTAAAATGGTTTTGCTTTGGTATGAAAATGGGAAATGTGAAATTTGGGGAATGTGCTAGGGCCGTTCCTGAAACTGCATTTGGCTGTTCTTCAAGAGAGATTGTGAGAAAAAAAGTAAAATGTTTATGAAAATATTTGTTGGGTGTACAAGCATTAGAAAATGAAAATGTAAAGAAGAAAAAACTTTATGGTGTTTTCTGAATTCCTCTATAAAAATGCAGTTTTTTTTTTTTTTCCTTGTTGCTAAAAAAAATGCTATTTTGAAAATGGCTCGAAAATGAATGCCTCGGATTTGTGCGAGACCTTTTTAAAGAGGGTACCGTTGGATTCTCTTCCACAGGGTTCTAAGGTATCCTCACCAAATTATGAAAGAACACCTTCATTTCTAATGTTGGAACAGCTTCATCTATATTTTTTTTTCCTTTTGTTAATGCAGATTTTTTAGTTCGTGAAAGGACACAATGGGATTGCACAAATGGAACGATTTACTTATTATTTTCTTAACTTTTTGTTGTAACTTGTGTTCACAACGTTCACCGGATCTTCAATTCATTTGTGTTTTTATTGACCGTCTATGACATACACCTTTAAAATTACCAATTAACGCTGGAAGCGTTCTTCGTATCGTTAACATAGAATGACTCCTCTGAATGTATTCGTTTGTTTCCACTGCATAGGTAGCTCAGTATCTTTGTCGCTTTCCGTTTCACAAAGCTGAAACATGTCAATTTTACTGAAGGGTTTACTGATGGGAGACTACTACTTGCTTCGTTGAATGTAAAAGACAAGACTTGCTTTTCGGAGTATGCCAATGTAAAAAGATATCGGGAAGGTATTTGTGCCTTTAAATTGTAAGCGAAATGTAAACTAAGGAGCTACTTTATGCATTGTGTGCTCCCTTGTAGATTTTACTAGTACTAAAATTTGATTTATATAGAGATCGAAATGGTTCTTGCCCAATTTTTCTTATTAATTCCTTATTTTCATGACCTTTTTTTTTAGCTGGACTTGCAGAGGATCATTCTAGGTTCTATAGCATGCTTTTGAAACCTTATGTTGTTTCCTTTGAGTACTGTCTGAAACCTTAACTAGCATTAAAATGATAGTGGGCTCTCTACTTTTGCTGTCTTAAAATGCCAAACTCTGATCGATTTCAAAGAAATATATTGTATTTCCTGAAACATGTCAATATGGAAACTTTACCAATCGAAAACTATACGAAGGAAATGAGGTTGGCCTAGTTTCACTTGCCATTGATGATTTTGTATGGAGAGAGGAAGATATCTGTATGTGATATTTGTAAAACTTTTGGCTTGAAACCAAACTACTCAAGACAATGTTCATGATCCATCACTCAATCCAAGGAACTCCCCAACATGTTGTTTCAGGATAATCAGCAAATGTACACTGTTCAATGGGATAGCCTAAAACATAAGAAATACTTTGATTTATAAAAAATAAATGGGAAAACTTAGGATTTAACAAAAGGTCAGGGGTTTCTCTCATTCTTAGCATTCTTGATTAATGTCTTTGCACATATGGAGACATCATTAGTACATATTATTTAATAAAACAATTATGCATATGTATAACGAGATCTTGTTTATTACAAAATGTATGGACTCCGACTACTTCTCCGGAACTTTGCATGAACTGAAGGGGGTACAATAAATGTCTCTTAATATAAGATTATTTAAACTTATTCCTGTAAACAGGTCTTACATCTTAATCAAGTATATTTCATTACTTATTACAACTTATTATTGTTCGTCATTACTACAACATGAGCTTGAAAAGAATCAAGAGTGAGCTTGTAAAGAATCAAGAGTGAGCTTGGAACGAAAACAAAAAAATCCATTTATGCCTTCGCAAAATCAATGGTAAGCTTTCCATCGTGTGACTTCCTGTAGAAGTGCCTGACGTAGTCCGAGTACAAAATTGGTTTGTAAATCGGTTTCTCTCCAGTACTGGCGAGCACTTCAGGCAATGGAGCGATGATATCCTCTGGCCTTGGGTTAATGAAAAGAGGAACTGAGATCCTGTTACTGTTTCCATTAGCTACGACTCTGTGCTCAATACTTCTGTAACGCCCATTACTAAATATTTGCAATGCGTCACCTATGTTGATAACAAGAGACCCTTTTACCGGCGGCACATGAACCCAACTGTCCTTACCCTCCACTCGGACATAAAGCCCACCGATATCATCTTGAAGGAGAACGGTAAATGCTGAGACATCAGAGTGGCGGCCAACTCCAACGGTGAGTTCTGGGTTTGGGCAAACGGGATAGAAATTGAGGTTAACCCTCTTTGAACCTGTAACAAGCTGTTCTTTTTCACTGTCTATTTCAGTCACATTTAATCCCTTGAGTAGCACACTTAACAGTCGCTTCACAACTATGCTTCCATTATGCATGTAGGCCAAAACTTCATCCCTGAAAAGGTAATATACATTAATGAATAATTCTAGAAATTCAGTATGAGAATATCGATGCACGGAATGCAAAATGTATATAACTTGTTGTAGATGGACTTGTTTTATCACGACGATCATTAAGAGATAGAATTGATATGTGTATGTACATGTATCTACGAGATTGTCATAATCCCCTAATCTTTATAACTGGATAATTTTGTTTAATGAAAACACACATGATAAACATATGACCACATGAATAATTAACAGTCAGTAATAGTTATAGAATGATATAGCACGCATGCATGAATAAGTTAGGTGCTAGGTTTGAACTACTCTTACTTGCAAGAAGAAGGCCACAACTTAGAGGCCTCATCCTCGGAAACATAGAAGAGACTGAGGTAATCTTTCCATTCCAGAGCCTTCTCGACTGTAGGAATGAAGCTTGTGGTGTATCGGACATTGTTGGATACCGAATTCTCCTTGGAGTACTTGTTCTTCTCCTCAGCAGGCGAGTCAAAGAAGCGATATGTCGCGTTTTTGACATTGTCAAGAACTTCCTGGGGTATGCCATGATTGATGATCTGAAAGAAACCCCATTTCTCCGCAGCATCGCATATCGCCGCCCCGACTTTGGGGTCCTCCCAGTTAGACGCGTCGATGATCGGAATAGACTCTCCGACCATGACCTTACTCATAGTCCTCTCTTCCAGGGGCTGAATATATTGTTCGGGAAGGGTTTTGATGCCAGTTTCTGAGAGACCCTTTACTCCATTGCCTTTGTTTATGACAAAGTCAGTGACAGAATCGTTGGCCCAATTGGGTTTAGAAGGCGCCATCAGTATAGGACTGCTTAACAAGAAGAATAAAAGGTGAAGATTTTTTGTTTAACGAGAGTCGATCTGTAGAAATAAAGCTGAATATTGTTGTGATTTACAACCCATGCAATCCGTGGTATTTATAGTTGTTTGTTCTATTGCAAGTCATGACTATTAAAATTAAGAATATTATTGTAAGATATTCTAGTCAATATTGTAGACTAGAGTATATTTCAAACCTTTGGGCCAGCTATCTGAAAATATAACGTGTTCCGAATTTGGAAGGCAGGAGCCGTCGTTTAACATTGAAAATGTGTAGTAGCTAGCTGACCATTTACATTTGTAAATCTTATATAGTTACACTAATTATTAGTGCCATCTATCTTTGACTAATATAATCTCTCTTTCTGAGTAGCCAAGAAAAATATTAGCCTCTTGTTTTCAATTTCTGGTAATATTTAGCTGCAGGAAAAGTCTTATATATTTTTTAGTTTTTGAAAGTTTGAAAAAGCTTTATATATCTTTCGTTGATATTTGTGGCATTCAAATAATTTTTTTGGTTCTATTAAGGCACTCTTAAGTTCAATCGTTCAAACCACATTTTTAGACAATAAATAAGTACTTACTCTTTGTGTTTTTTATACCTACCAAATACAAATTCAAATTTTAAATTAAAATTTTAACTGCACATTCAAACACCAATTCGAGCTACTATTCAAACTGCACTATTTGAATTTTTCCGTTTAAATAAGAAAGTTCAAACTTATAAAACTTAAACCAGTGAACCAAACAGGATTAACATGTTAATTTGGAGATGCTCATATAATTGTTTGTTTTGTTCCAGTCATGACTATTCAAATTAAGAATGTTGTAAAATATTCTAGTCAATATTGTGCAGACTAGAGTATATTTCAAACCTTTGGGGCAGCTAACTAGTAAACACTAGTCTGAAAGCATTACGATGGAGAAACAACTCCAATCATATCATGTGTGCTTCTTGGAAATATGTAGTAGATACATAGCTAGCCGTTTACACCATCAATTAATTATATAGAATAATCAACTTATTATTTGTACCATGTGTCGTTGAATAATATACTCTCTTTATGCCTATTGGCTGGTAATATTTGGCTGCATGAAAAGTCTGCTATGTTTCTTCAGTTTTTGGTCCAATTGGTTTTTTAGAAGGCGCCATTGGTAGGATTACTGGAAAAATATGTAGTCAAGGCTTTGTAGCTTAAGGAGATCAGGTGAGTAGAAAAGCTGATTGGTGTGCTTTACCAGCCATGGAAGTTTTGTATTTATAGTGTTATTGCAAAGTGTCACTTTTAAATTTAAAATTGTAAAATATTATTCTTGTCAATATTGTTCAGACTAAGATAACTAGTATATACAATGAATCTAATTAGGAGGCAGGAGTCGTCTTTTTAACCGAGAAACTACTCCTATCATACCATGTATGCTTCGCGGAAATATGTAGTGGCCAGCAACTACCATTGGTCGTTGAATAATTTATGACTTGTTCACTTACATTTTTTAAGTTATGGTGACTTGAGTTCAGATCTTAATTTAAGTTAAGGTATATTTGATTATGGTTTGAGTTGAGATTCTAATTTAAATTTGTGTTTGGATGTGCACATTTAGAGTTATGGTTTGAATTGATAATCTATTTGAGTTTGTATTTGAGTGAGTCAAAAATTAAATTTATATTTAGATAGTATTTTAATAAAAACTCAATAGTGATGAAAAATTTTAATAAGATATGTGGGTGGGGTTTTATTCGTCTCTTTGTTGTGAACGCATAGAAAAAAAATCATCCTAATCAGAATTAAAACGAAAAAGTTATGGTGTTTTTAAGAATAGAAAAAAGATTGTTCATTAATTTAAATTTGAGTTTAGAAACTTCAGTTGAATGGATAACTTTAACTTAAATTTTAACCTCAAATTAAAATTAAAATTCACATTTAAACTCAAATTTTATAAAAAAAATATGAATTTAAATAATATTTTAATCTGAGTTTAAATTTTTTTTTAAATTTAAGTGTAAATGCTCTCTTTTTATATTTCTGGTAATATTTAACTGCTTGAAAAGTCATTGAATAATTATGTTTCTTTGAAATTAGTTTTTGGGTCCTACGTGGGTAGGTTTTGGAAAGACTTTCTTTTTGTTTTTTTCTGGTTCAAAGATAATCGAAACTCCAAAGACTTCGTATCACTTTCGCAGCCGTAAGTTAGGACCGGTACAGCACGTGCCCCAGAAATCTCCCACCTAAATCCTTATTATTCTTTTCGTGACATCCCTGTATCTAATACAATGAAGGAGGAATATTTAAGGATAAATTAATATGGATGAGTCTATTTAATGATGTCGTAAAGAATGATACTTTTAGTATTTGCTTTTTTATATTTGTCCCAACAATGTCACTTATATCATTTTACCTTTTAATTTTTAAAATGTGCCATTTTATACTTTTAAATTTTATTCTCTTAGCAAGTAAACTCTTCTCCTATCAATTCTGTTAGTTTTTGGGATTTTTTTCTTTTATTTATTTATTTACATATTATCTAAAATTATGTCACTTTACCCCGAGTTTCAAAATGCGCTACTATATTCCTTTAAACTTTGTTCCGATAGCAAGTATTTAATCCCCTTTCATCCAAATTTTTTTCGGCTCACAAAGCAATATAATTTTTCTACCAACTTTCTGGGACCTCCACGTTCCCATTATTATGTACCCACCACTGCATATGAATATTTTTTTTGCATCAAGCCATTCGAACACAAACGCAAAGAGCAATTTACAAAATGGAATTTAAATTTATACGGTAGGTTTGAAAGCACTTTTTTATATGTTTGTTATATATTTGGTTGCATGCATTAAAATTCAGGAGTTATTTGGGTTGTGTTCTTTCATTGTTTTTTTTTTTTTTTTGGTTTAAATTGTTTTTGTATTTGGGTTCGAGTGGCCTGTTGCAAAAAAAAAAAAAATTCACGCAAGTTGTGGTTCTGTGGAGTGGGTTGACAAGGAGGTGAAAGAGAAGCAACATTGATTTCTTGAGCCAAAAGAAATTGTGTGGAAGCCGGTTACTTGATAACAGAAAAAAGATTGAGGGGACACGGTGGCACATTTCTAAAGCAGAGGCAAAATAAGTGGTATAGTTTGGGGGAAGATATACAATAATTCATAAAAATGGCCAAAAACTAATGAAATTGAATGGAAGGGGGGGTTGTTTGCTAGCAGTAGAAAATTTAAGAGAATGAAGTGGCGTATTTTAAAATTTAGGAGGCAAAGTGATATAAGTGTCATAGTTTAGAGGGTAAATACAAAAATAATGCTTAGTATATTGGCATTTATTTGGAGCTATAAATATATATTTTTAAATCTTAAAAGTAACCCTTCGTAATTACATAACAATTATATAGTATATTCTTGAATAGACTTCTACTAGCAAGCAATTGTTTTTCTTTTGAAACATGCAATATTTATCTTTGTCTTATATGTTATGTCACTATTTGTTTGTAAAGGCCATAAGTGCCTTGATTAAGACAAATTCGCAGTTTTCAAAGTAATTGATAATAGTATAAGAATTTCAAAACTTTAGGCATCCCATAATCCATAAATCATGAAGGCTAGAAATTAACTTTATTTCTTCGTATAAGTCGTACCTTTTTTAATTAATTTATTTTTATGTGCTTGTAGTGCTATATTAGACATCTTACCATCTTTTGGAGTCTTGAAGGCTTGAGCTTCAGCCTCAATTTCCAGAGGCATACTCCTTCAGTTAATAGCTAGTTTAAGGCCTAATAAGATCAAGGCTAAAACGTCTCACCTCTTTGTGAGGCGTGTCTCAAGCCTAATTCAAAAATGTAATTTTCACTACTCAAAATAATTTTTAACAACGGTTGAAAACTATTGTTAATTTTTTTTTTTTTTTATAATATTAATGATTTTTGTACCGACGTTGCATAAGGTGGCATTAAAAATAAACGTGTTTAGCAATAGTAGAAATTTATTATAAATATTTGAAATCTAAAGGTATAAATGTTTAACAGTTCAAAATAAAAGGTATGTTTTTTTGATAACTTCAAAAATAAAAGATATATCGTAAACGTGTCTAACTTCATTAAAACACAGTTTTATGAATTTCGTAATTGCAATGTGAGTTTTTTTACTTGCTATTTTTTTTTATATATATATTTTTACCATTAACTAAATGAAGAAAAGAAAGTCAAAAAAAAAAAAAAAAAAAGCTAAAGACTATCTTTGGTGAACTCTCAAACATGTAGCAAATGCACTATGTCCCTCTCCCATGGAAAGCTCTAGAGGCAATGAAGATCATTATTATATGTTTATATAATAATTCCCTGTTTGAGGAAAGCGTCCGAGTAAAAGATATTCATAGGACAAAGATGCATTATATATAAACATTAAACATGATTAATCCTTATTGTGAATTGTTTAGGATGAGCTTGACAGTTTGGTCTTTTTCAAAAATCTACTGTTCTTCTGTAATCTTGGAACATATTCATGAATCAATAATATAGTATTCTTTCATTTACGCAAAAATGGAATAAAAAAACAGAGGTTGGTCGTGGTATTGATCTTTATAATTTGGTAATGACGAGAAAGAGAAAAAACCAGAAAATTCATATGTGATTCACGTGCAGGCTCTATATGCAGTCCAGAAAAGTCATCTTTTCAGTTTTTTTTTAATAAAACAAAAATTTGAAATTACCATCTTCAAAGTACATAAAATGCTTGAACCGTATTTAAATACACCTTACTAAGTGGTCTTTGCACATGTACAGACATATATAATATAAGATATTATTTAATAAAAAAAAAATATGCGCATACGTTTGAAATGTTCCAAACAACACATATTTATATAGAAAGAAAAAAACAAGATTTGTTTACTACAAAACACGATCCGGTGCTTTAAATAAATTCAAGGAGTACAATCAATATCTCTTACAATTAAAATTTGAAAACTAATTCACGTAACAGGTCTTACATCTTAATCAAGTATATTTTATAATTTCTTATATCTTTCGACACAATGTTTATTTTTAGTCATTACTGCAACAAGAGCTTGC